ACCAGCAGTTGTTGTGGTGGTTAAGGCGTTGGATCCCACATGGCCAAAGGCATGGTTCAGGTCCTGACCTGGCAGCTTGAAAATGATGCTGGGTGGTGTGCTTGCATGCTCAAATTCCTGAGAAAAAAATGGAGGAGAAGGGACTGAAATATGGGAGGGCGATTTCTCACTTTTCCCATCTCTCTCACTTGTAACTACATGCAAATAAAATAAATAAATGAATAAAAGAAAAAGAATGTATTGGACAGCATCTGATACTGAGGTAAACAAAAAAAAGTTCTTTGATCCTGCCTCATAGGAAATAAACAACGGGATTTTATGTGGCTGTGTGCTTTGCAAATTATAATTTACATACTTTAATTCATTTAGTTTACTATGTGATGAAAGATTTTCAAAAAATGAAGCTTAGCTAATTTTTTTCTTTTCCTTTTTTTTTCTTCTATAGTGCACATGCACCCCCTGAAAAAAGAGAGAGAGAGAGAGTTAGAAATTACTCTTATGCAGATGGCCACACCACAAACCCTTCTCCACCATTCTTATCTTGGGATTTTGGGCTCACACACACAGGTATCTAGCATGTTTTTCAAGCCACCAGGTCCAGGACTCAAACTATGAAGTCAGCCATGTAGGATCCAGTGCCTTTACCACCATGCCACCCTATCAAGTAAAGGGCTATGAATGTAACGGCTGTTTATTTCACTGAGAAATAATTCTAGCTAGTGTTAATTGAATCTTTACTATGTACCAGGCTCTGCATTTACAGTTTTCCATCTCATCATAATTTATGGTCATTTAAAATGAGAAAACTAAAGTTTCCTTCAGTTTCATAACTTTAGATGCATCAAAGTCATGCATCTAAGTGGTCAAGCCAGGATTTGAGCCTAGATCTTCCCAATATCTACCATAATACACCATGAAGTTTAAGTAATCTAACATTTTTACACACATGCCATATTTTATCCATGAAAATGAATTTTGTCATCCAAATCTTGGAAGGTTAAGTAAGTTGATACCTCTGATCCTGCCACAACCTGTTTAAAATAAACTTCTTTACAATGTTTTCTGAGCTTATGACAGATTCTTTTAGGGATGTGTTTGGTCTTTAGAAACAGCCAAAAGAATTTGGAGTTATTTAGAAAATACAGAAAAATTATCTCTATTTTTTGCACAAAGTTCATTTCATTACTTAAAAATGTTTTATAACATTATATTATCACAAAGTTCTCTGATGAGGCATTTCAAAAATGCCATCATCCTTATCATTAGATCATATCTTTGCAGATAACCACTTGGAGGGAACTATCTTCTTTCTTATGTTGAAGGTTTGGGCAACTGGATAGATGAATCTGAAGTACAAGGAAGAAATCAGGCCCAGAACCACAGGGTTGCCAGGCGTATGTGTGTAAGAGTTGGGCCACACCATAGTAGTATCTGAAACTGCCTACAGTACACATATAATTGAAGAGTCAGGTGGGGAGATGGAGGTCCTGGACAGACCCTTGAAAGAGCCAACTTTGGGTGGGTAAAGACCTCAAAATCAGCAAGAGATCCAGGAAAAAATTGACACACAGGAGAAGTGAGATGTCTAGTCCATTCTGTTGCTAACAGAAAATACCTCAGTCTGGGGAATTTATATAACAAGACTAGAGGCTCCTTCAGTTCACCATTTGGAGATCCAAGACCCAGGCGTCCCCATCTGGTGAGAATCTTGTTGCTGGTGGCTAATCTGGCCGAGAGCAGGAGCCTGGGCGGAACAGACCATGTCTCAAATGTCTCATTTCCTGTCCTTATGAACAAACCCACCAAGACTCAGTCACAGGGCTTCCACCCTAAAGCCCAATATCTTCCCAAAGACCCCACCTTTCAACGCCATAATCAGATTAAGTTTCTACCCTCTCAGCACCATTACCGTGGCTCACCAGATTTTAACATGAATTTAGGGGAAACACATTCAAACCACAGAATGGGAGAATAGAGATTAGCTAAGAGCACTAGCTACTGGAAAGGGAAAAATATCTGGAGAAGAGGGATAAGGAACAGCAATCGCTCCTAACCCATGCGTTAAGAACCTGGGCCAGGAAGGAGGAGAAAGAAACATGGAGTAGAGCAAGTAGCCTGTGAATCGATAACACACTAAGCATTTTACACAGCTCAGAATTCGAAGATATTACCCACAGTACAACTTGTAATTTTTCAAATGTATGTAAACACCTTGAGATCACCATGGCATTCAGTAGATTTGACTCGAAATTCCTTTGGCTTCTTTGTTTTTATTTTGGTGCCTAGGGGGTATATGTACTCACCAAAGAGAGACGGACAGAGAGGGAGAAGAGAAAGCACCCACCCCAGGGACCAGCAGGTGGCGTGGTGGTTAAGGCGCTGGACACTCCCACATGGCCGACCACAGTTCGAGTCCCGGACCTGGTGGCTTGCTTTCTCACTTTGCCTCTCTCTCTCTCTCTCTGTGTCTCTCTCTAGTCAAATTAAAAAAAGTAAATGAGTGGATAAATAAATAAATAATTTAAAAAAAAAGAAAGCACCCACCCCTATGGGCATGTTCACACCACCCTCCCTCCCCTATTTCTCCCTTCTTCCAGGGTATGGGGCACACAGGCACAGACACCTGGAGTGTTTCTCAAACTGGGCAGTCCACTGTGTGGGATCCAGTCACCTTAGCCACCAGGCCATGGAACTGGCCTCCTGTGGCTTCTTTGTAAGACCAAATTTGCCCACAAATCTAGTCTTGATCCTATGAAGATAGTCATATGACTGTGCCCCAGATTTCAAAGCACTATGGACAATTCATATTCCCAATCACAGTTAATCCCATGTATAAATTTAGACATTTATATATTTGGTTGTGGGAAAAGTCATGCCTTTTTTCTTTTTATATTTTTCTATGCAAAAATGTATCATGACTTTTCGCAACCCAATAGTATCTCCAAATTGAGAGTGAGACTCTTCGAGGACAGGAACCATATTCTCCAGCAACTAGCATATTTTATGGCATTTGTAAGAAAGGGTCTCAAAGTTTCTCGATGTTACTGTAATACTCAGGAGTCAGGAATTTGCAGGCATGGACTGCAAGGGTCCATGTGACTTAGGTTCTCATGAACCTTCACATGTATGGCATAAATGTTTCCCTTCTCAAACTTTCAACCATTCCTTCCTTCAAAAGTATATAGCCTAGTATATGCCGAGCACTTTGCTATACGATTTCCTGAGCATTTTGCCGGAATGTATGAGGCTTGTACATGTGAGTTTAGCAATACCTGAGACTTAACTGCTGAGAGAACCTTGCAAGAATAAACTAACGTTCACCTTTTATAACTTTTTAAAAGTTTTTTTTTCTTCTTTACTTATGAGAGAGCATGTGCATGTACTCATGAGAGTGGGAGAGAGAGAAAGTGAGAGAGAGTTGAGCACCCTCCACAAGGTCTGATCATGCCATGATGCCCTCCCTCAGATCCTCCAACCCATCAGATCCTGGGCACTCATCCACATGTCTCAGGTTAACCATCCTGGGGATTTGATGTGAACCATGATGACCACGTGAACCTGGCTTCTCTTGAGCAGTGCAGTACCACAGTACCATAGAGCTGACCCTAAGGTTTCTGTTTGCTATTTTATTGCTTTATTGAGACATAATTCATACACCATATGATTCACCCTTTTAAAGTCTAATCTCAATATTATTAAGTATATTCACAGAGTCATGCAACTATGGTCAATATCTAAACTGAGGACATTTTCTTCACCTTACAAAGAAACCCTGTACCTGTTATTGGTCCCGTTTCTCAGCTTCTAGCAACCACTAAGCCTCTTCCTGTCTCCATGGACTTGCTTATTCTGGACATGTCATGTGAGTGGGATCACACAATATGTGATCTTTTGGGTCTAGGTGCTTTTAATTAGCATGTTTTCAAGAGTTGTCCACGTGTCACTACTTCATCCCTTTGTATGAGTGAATAATGCTCCACTGTATGAATACAATACATTTTGTTTAGCCATTCACTAGTTGGAAGACATATGGGTCTTTTTCATTCCTAGGCTATTTTGAAAAATGCTGCTGTAGGGACCAACAGATGGCATAATGATGATGTTGCTGGACTCCCACATGACTGACCACAGTTTGAGTCCCAGACCTGGTAGCTTAAAAATCATGCTGGGCACATGTGTGTGCATGCACAAGCTCCTAGAAGGAGAATGGAGGAGAAGGGATTGTGGTGTGGCCATCCCCCACCCTCAGGGGTAATTTCTCACTTTTCTTGTCACTGTGTGTGTGTGTGTGTGTGTGTGTGTGTGTGTTTCTCTCTCTGGTGAATGCACATGCCCTAGGGTAAAAAAACTCTTAAAAAAAAAAGAAAAGTAAAGTAAAATGCTGTAAACATTCATTATGAGTTCTCATGTGGACATGTTTTTGTTCCTCTTGGATAAATATTTCCGAGTTAAATTCCTAGGTCACATGAAAACTTTATGGTAAAGTTTCTGAAAAACTGCCAAATTGTTTTTCAAAGAAGCTACACCATTATGCATCCCCATCCACAATGTGAGGGTTTAAAAGTATAGATTTGAGGTCAGCAGGTGGCATGGATGTTAAGGTTCTGGATCCCATATGGCTTACTGCACAGCTCAAGGGCCAGATCCAGAGATTTGGAAAGCACACCAGAATCATGTGCATGCATGCCCCAAATCCTGAGAGGAGACTGGAGGAGAAAGGATTGTGGCATAATTGCTCACTTTCTCTCTCTTTCTCTCTCTCTCTCTCTCCCTGACGAGCACAGGCATACTATAGCAAAACAACAACAAAATCTAAGTTTTAACTCACCCATTTAACTCTAATAAAAACAAAGCATGTATCTATGAATTTAATATTTACACTTTGTATTTTATTATTCTGAGAACCATCTTGTATTTTCTAAAGAGGAGACACAAAATACCTTCTACCCACTGTGACACTGAGATGATACTTCAACGGTTTTCTACTCTACTTATTCTAGCCAAGGAAAAATGACGGAAGCAATTCAATACTTGAAAAAAGTTGTGGAAATCGCAGGAAACAATTTTCAAAATCTAGATGTCGTGAGAGCAAGTACAATGCTCGGAGAGATCTACAATAAGAAAGTAAGTACATGTGCTCTTTGTTTATGGAGAAACTTTTAGTACTTAGGGAGAAATGTATGGTTTTAGAAGTCTGTTCTCATTGGATCCTAGAAGGCCCAGGACTGCAGGACGTAAATAGTTCATGTCTGAGGCAAGGACGATCTAAGAGGAGTAAGGCCTCCTTCCAGCACCTAGTGCCACCTGCCAGCTTGGACACAGTCCCCATACCTGCTAACCCTGATTCTTATATGCATAGCCAGTAAGAATTGTAAATGACTTTAGATTTGAGGAGTAAATTAAGAAAGTTAAATTCAAAGGAAGTTGATTTAAACAGTTAGCCTTTAACTGGTTATATTGTCATTTCTCTCTTTCTCAATTCCTTTTTTTTCCCAATTGATCTGTGATGCTTACTCCTACTTACCTCTACCCTAGGCCCTCAGGAAGGAAAAAAGAAAGACAACCCCAAAAGTAACTTGAAGAAACTTTAAAATGGGTTTTAGGAACAGATTAGGTACGTGGAATAAAATAGGTGACTTAAACTCACACTGGGCAAATGTGAGTGCATGCCCAAGATCCAGAGAGGAGAATGGAGAAGGGATAGCGGCGTGACTGTCCCCTCTAGGAGGTGATTTTTCGCTTTCAGTCTCTCTGTCTCTCTCTATCTTTCCAGATAGTAAATGTGCCCTATAGCAAAAATCTCTCTTTAAAAAAAAAAAGAGAAGTTGCAGAATAATTTGAGATTGTGGGGAAAAGAAAGAAGAGTGTCCTGTATATAAAAGTTTAAGTAACAGAGAACTGAAAATATCTTATTTAAGAAAAGTTAAATCTGATATAACATTTTTAAAAAGAAATTAATTCAAGAGAATGAAATTAATCATTGTTTAGCTCCTGCTATAGTAAATGTGCTTTTAAACATGGTCTCTCTTTTTTCTCAAACCCTCTCTCATGCTCCTTATCCACCATCTCCAAGGACTCCTCTTCTCCGGACTCCTTCCTGCACTTACACCCCCGGCTCCCTGCTCTCCTGCCTTTTCCCCTGCTCCTTGCTCTCTGGCCTTCCACTGTTCTCCTCCCACAGTTGGGCCTCAGGAGCCCTGTCTTGCTGATCTCACATTTCTCTTTCTCTCCCATGCCTGTGGCTTCTGCCCCGCCTACCGGGCCAGCTCTGCCCTGCTCCAGCTTCAGTAAAGTCTCTCCTTTATGTTGAATATGCTTTTGTTGACTTCTTTTTTCTTTTTGCTTTTTATTATAAATTTATTTATTTTACTTTAATTTTCTGAATGTCATCACAGCATACAAAATGTAACTTCCTATCCAGAATACACTGTATAGTGGCTTAATCATTATTTTCTCTCCTTGCATTTCTACCAACAATAGAAACTACAGAAAGTGTAGGTGAGAACTGACCCCAGAAATCGCTGACTTCTTTTTTAAGAGAGATTTTTGCTATAGGAAGCATGCACTCACCAGAGAGACAGAGAGATAGAAAGCGAGAAATCGCCCCCCAGGGGGGATGGTCACGCCGCAATCCCTTCTCCATTCTCCTCTCAGGATCTTGGGCACGCACACACATGTACCCAATGTGAGTTTAAGTCATTGGCTCTGGGCCTCGAACTATGATCAACTATGTGGGAGACCAGCAACGTAACCATTATGCCATCTGCTGGTCCCCCTACTTTAGTTGACTTTTCAGAATACAGTAGAGACAGGCAACCCATTTCTTGGGATCCCTTCCTTCTTGGGAACTCTTTTCTTTCCCTCCCTTAACAAACTCCCAGCTTTGCTATACCTACTCTGTGTCTGCAACTCTAATTCTCCCCAAACGTGTATATACATGTACACACACACACACACACACACACACACACACACACACAATAGGGGCCTTTCCCTCCCTTAACAAACTCCCAGCTTTGCTATACCTACTCTGTGTCTGCAACTCTAATTCTCCCCAAACGTGTATATACATGTACACACACACACACACACACACACACACACACACACACAGTAGGGGCAAAAAGGACAAGACTTTTGCCCTTACAAGGTTTATAATCTTGTGACAGAGCTTCTAGAGTAGCAGAATTGACATTCCTAATATAAAGATATAGTCATACTTCTTTTCTTTTTCTCTTTGCCTATTTTTTTAATTTACAGGTAATCAGTATATATCTGTACAATATACCAAATGGTTTCTCTGAACATAAATAGAGTATATATTAGTCCTGTCAAAGACAATAACATATACATTATCATCCCCAGATAACTTTCCACTTTTGTGTCTTTTAAATGTTTTCCCCCCATTCCCTTCTTCCCACCTCTTATTACCTGCCCCCTCCTACAGTGCTTTTAGTATCTAGAGTTGCCTTCCCTGCTTTAATACATTCCACACTCTGTTTCTTCTGATAAGTGCAGACATTCGGTATATATTAAGCAGGGACATACAATGCCTCTCTTTCACAGTCTGGCTTGCTTTGCTTAGTATTAAATCTTCCATATAGTCTTAATTTCTAAAAGAGCTGTCCTACAAAACAGAAGTGGGGACCTAACTGCCAAACAAAACTCAAACTCAATGCTTTACTAAAATGCAAATGTCAAGTATAAGTGTGTGTGTTTGTGTGTATACCTGCATCGTCTTAACATTTTTGTCAAGAGTTTGTATTTCATCGGTGTGTATTTTGTTTCATGATTCTTCTTTTTTTAATTTACTCTTATTTATTCAATTCATTTATTTTAAATTGACCAGAGAGAGATAGCAGAGAGAGAAAGAAAGTGAGAAAGCAAGCAACTAGGTCTGGAACTTGAACCGTGGTCAGCCATGTGGGTGGGTCCAGGTCAACCACCATGCCACCTGCTAGCTCCCCATATTTTCTTTTATAATTCTTAATTCTTGCAGAAGAGTTTCATATCTAAGGGCTAGAGACTTAAGATAATATCCAAAGGCTATGTTGACTGACAGAAGTTAATTTTTTCAATTCATTTCTATTCTTTTATTTTAATTTTATTTCATGTTTTCTATGAGCAAGAGAGACTGAGGGCAGGGGACAGAGAGAGAGAAGAAGGGAAACAGCACCACAGTCCACCCTCTGTTAGCCTGAGATCAATAGGTATGTGTGTGCTTAGGGAGGTATCAGATGCAAACTCAGAATCTTCCCATGTGGGTCAACCTCATGGAGGATGCATGGTGTCTGCCCTGGGCCACTGTCAGCCCTAGTTTATCCCTATTCAACTATAAAATAAGGACGGTCCAGGTATTCATGCTATCTTCAAATATATGTGCCTTCAAATGTATAAGTTGATTGATGCACCTTAAGAGATTCCTTTAATAAATGATCATTGAGATATAGTATAGTATTAGCAATAACAAGATTTTTTATGACACCACAGACTTCAAAATGAGGCTTTACTATTGCTCCAACTGTAAGTTACATCTAATTTTTGTGCATTACTGTATTTTCTTCAAACACTTCAAGTCAAACAAACTACTGATGACTTCTCAGGCTGCCTCTGATTTGTTAGATCCTTACTAAGAGTGTGATTTGAAAGGTACTAGACATAACAAAGTGGATTTATAAGTAGTAAGTGATTGTTATTTTTCCTTCTCATCTTTTTGACATAAGGTGATAGCCTCAATGATGTCCAAGTTATTTTTTTCTCTTCTCATCTTTTTGAGGCAAGGTGATAGCTTTGATGACAACCTGAATTTTCTTCTAGTTCTACAAAGCCATTTCCTAGGAAAACACTGACAATAAATTATTTCATGTCTCTACTTTTCAGTTGCTATGGATGTTTTCTAATTCTATGAGAGGCCTGTATTCCGGTTACATAGCTGAACAATTTTATAGGCTGCCTGCATCGAGTGCTGCATAGAAAACTTTTTCTAGACGGAAACTATAGCAGAGCTAAGAGGAACTGCCCTGAGCTTTATCCACCTGAATTTCAACTGAGTTCAGCCACTAATTAACTGTGACCTTGGCTCAAGTTAATTCTTTGATCCTCAGTTTTCTCATCTTTCAATTATCAATAATGATATTCCTTGAAGACTAGCTATATGAGGAATGGAAATCAAATATGTATATAGTACCTAACAGAGGCCCTAGTAAATATTGGGTATATAATAACTCTGAGCTTCTCAATATCTCAAGATCTCTCTCCTCATTTTCAGGCTCGTATCCCATCGCCTTCTTGACATCTTCATTTGAGTTGCTTCAACTATAACTTACCAAAAAGTAACTCGACTCACCATCTTTCCCCTAAGATCTATTCCTCTAACAACTGAAAGTTCAGCCTTCATAGAATATTGTTCTGGCATGTTACAATCTTTTTTTGTAATCCATGAGCTCCCCTTTGATGACCTCACCCAGGTTTTGGCTTTAAATGCCATTCATATGTTTATGACTCCCAAATTAAAATCTCCAGTCCACACGCACTTGGAATTTCAGACTTGTAAAGCCAACTTACTTACTTAGCCTCTCCACCTGGATTTATAATAGAGAGTTGACATATCACGAAAGTCCACCCTCCCTTGACCTCTCCAGTCTTCCCCATCTTAATAAATGGTATCATTATCTATCAATCCACTCACTCAAGCCAAGAGTCTGGATGTCCTCTGATTGTTTTCTCCTCCTTGTGCCATTCAACCCAGAATCAAACCCCCAAAATGTACCTCAAATCCATCCACTTCTCTCTACCTCAGTTGCTGTCACAGCAGTCAAGGACATTATATTTTCTCACCTGGACTACTGTAGTAAGCTTGGGACCCATATCTGTCCTTGCACTCCCCCCACCCCTATCCTCCCTATAAGCTGGTCCAGTCTCCACAAAAAGAACAAAGAAAGCCTTTCAAAATTTAAAACAACTTATGTTATTTCTTTGCTTAAAACATTTCCATTACTTCCCATTCTTCAGAAAACATAAATATAAATCCTTACCTTGTCCTGAAATATGAGACAGACCCCACCCCTCTGTCTGATGTCATTGCTTCCTACTCTCCTCATGCATTCCACTGACCACAGTCAGAC